TATTAAGGCATGGTATTAATTGCAGGAGATTATTTATTTATTTCTCACATCTAAGAATTACTTTTGTGGATTCAATGGTGGTTTATAAATGCCTTAATCCAAACTCATCATCTTTTCTATAAAAACTTTGATTTTATGTTACAAATCACTTTATTATACACTTTCTCTCATGCTAATGTTACTTTATTTTCATCCTCGTAAGTTCACAACAAAAGATGTTTTCATACAACCATTAATCAGTAGTGTTGTATTAGTAATAGTCATGTAGTTTTAATATATTTAATGCCTAATAATATAATAAATTAATTTCTGAGAATATCTTAAGTTTGTGAAGATTTGTTTATTTGTTTGAAAGGCAGAGTTACAGAGAGAAAGGGAGAGTCAGAGAGAATGAAGTTTTCCGTTCTCTGCTTCGCTCCCCAAATGGTAGAAATGACCAGTAATGGAGCAGGCTGAAGCCAAGCACGTGGAACTCTCAGGTGTCCGACATGGGTGCCTGGCACTTGAGCACGTAAGCACCTGACCAGCCTGTTGCTGCTTTCCCAGTTGTAACTGAAAGAAGCTGGTTTCAATGTTGAGCAGATAGGACTCAAACCAGCACTCATTATGAGATGCTTAATTCTCCTTAATTCTTTTAAGAATGTATATTTTGTTTGTTAGTAAGATCTCACTAGGAGTTATCTGAGTTTGTAAATATGCATTGGCACAGAATGAAATAACCAGTGGATAATAAATTAGCATAGTGATGAATTTCTGTGAAGTCTAATTATTTAATGAATCGCGTTGGGAAACAAAGTTGAAATGGAGATAACTAAATAAACATTTACTCTAGCCCAGGTATGCCATTGTTCCTCTCATAATGCTAGATATTCAGAAGACAATTTCCACTTTTGTCTCTCAGTTCTTTTTGCAGCTTTGTTAAGGAGAGAACCTTGGGCTGGCTCCATTATATCGATTGTAGTGCAGGGTTCTTACGTATGAATATTTTCACATTATTCACATTATTGTATTTACACATATTCTTTCTCACTATCTTCCTTCTTCCCTTCCTATCTTGCTTTCATATATCAGTTTAATTTTTTTTTCAATCTTTCTGTTTTTAAGAATGATTTTTCTATGTAGACGATATTTTAGGATAGGTCTGTTATTGGCAACATGTCTTATTTTTCTTTCATTTGAACAAGTTCATCTTTAAGATTTTCTTATTTTTCTTGGAAAGTAAGATTCACAGAGAGAAAAATAGATAAATTCTTCCATCCACTGTCTCACTCCCCAAGTGGTCACAATTTGCAGTGGCCGGAGCTGAGCCGATCTGAAGTCAGGAGCCAAGAGCTTCTTCCTGGTCTCCCACGTGGATGCAGGGTCCCAAGGCTTTGAGCCATCTTCTACTGCTTTCCCAGGCCGCAATCAGGGATCTGGGGAAGAGAAATGCAACAGCCGGGATCCGAACCTGCACCCATATGGGATCCTTGCGCTTGCAAGGCAAGGACTTTATATAATCAGCTATCACACTAGGCCCCTTATTTTTCTTTCATTTTAAACTGTCTGGATTTTGAGTTTTTAAAATGTCGTTTACTTTTTGTGTTTATCTGTTGGCTTGAATGGCAGTATAACCTAGAGAGGTAGAGTCAGAGAGAGAGAGAGAGATCTTTCAACACTCCATCCAGGTCTCTCATGAAGGTGGCAGGAACTTGAGATAGGGTCAGTTCCCTCCTAGGTGTGTTGGCCCAAAGATGGCTGAAGGCACAGGCAGCACTCAGCCTCAGGCAGCCCAGTACTTTAACCTTTGGAACATGCTCCTCTCTCCTCCTTTTTTCCCTTAAGGCTGTATTTTGCTGGTCTGAGACACTGAGTAGGAAGTTCTTGTCCTTCAATTATCAAACTGCCCTATCCACTAGCCTTGCAAGTGGTTTCTTGTAAGGAATCAGAACTGTCACTTTAGTCTTTTGTTCCTCTCCAGCTGTCTTGTTTGGCTGCTTTCCCCATTTTTCTGTTTTGTTTTTGTGTTTAGTTTTCACATGCTATTATGTTTCTTAACATGGATTTTTTTTTATTATATTCTTTTTGATTTTAAATCAGCTTTTTCAATCTGTAACTTCTTATCCCTTAGTAATTGGCAGTTTTTCTGCTGAGTATTTTTGGACTCTGCTCTCTTAATCCTTTCTTTAATGAATGTAATGACAGAAGTGTTAGATCTTTTATTGCAGTCCCTGAGGCTCTGTTCGTCTTTTTCAATTGTGTTTTCTCTTTGTCCAGAACACATAATGTCAATCTTTAGGGTTTTTTTTTTTTGTTTGTTTTTTACATCCCCTTTTATTCTGTGATTGAGCCTGCCCATTGAGCTTTTTTCCCCCCACTAACTATATTTTTCAGTTCTAAAAACTTTACTGAGACATTTTGTCTTTTAGTTCAGGTTTTTAGGCTTTACTTGTTTTTTTTTTTTACTTATTTCAAGTTTATTGAAGTATTCATAATTGCCTAATGATGCACTATTTTCAATCATAAGTGTTTTAAATCTTTGTGAGGTCATTCTAATATCTTTTTTTTTTTTGCAGTTAAACTCTATTGACCTTTTAAATTTGATTTGTGCTTTTTCTGGTTCTAGCATGAGTGATTTTTGCTTTTCTGAGATTTATTCATTTGTTTGAAAGAGAGGGAGTAAGGTAGGAAGGGAGGAGGGAAGAGAGAGAGAGAGAGAGAGAGAGAGAGAGAGAGAGAGAGAGAGAGAAGCAAGTGAGCTCTTCCATCCTTTGGTTTATATTCTCCAAATAACTCAACCAGTCCAAAACTATGAGCCTGGCACTTAATCTGACCTCCCACATGGGTGGCAGGATCCACGTGTTTAGACCATCTTCTAGTACCTTCTCAGGCACATTGTCAAGGAGTTGAATCAGAAGCATAGCCACTGGGACTTTTTATTGTAAAATCCTGCCATCACAGTCAATGGTTTAGTGTGCTGTACCACAACACTGTTCCCAGTATGAGTAATGTTTTTAGAAATTTAGAAGTTTTTGAGTATTCTTAAGACCTTGGATCTTTTGAAAGTAGATTTTTGACACCTCTGTATCAGGACGAAGAGGGACATGTAAACTTATTACTGTCAGGTGGGCATATAAGAACAACTTTTTGGTTGAAATCCAAGATAGAGACTGCTCAGTGCTGCTGCATCTGAAAGGAATGCCTAGCTCCCTACTAGGCCTCAGCTTTTGGGACTGTGTCACTAGTGGTTCCCATTGGCCTTCATTTATGTGATAGGAGGAAAGTCATCTTCCCACTGGACATCCTGCGATACCATCCCAGCGGGGGAGGAAGACTCATTTCAGTACTGATGGGTGGAAGTGGAGGCTCCTCATGGAGTCACAGCTGATGGCAGATGTATGTGAATGGTGGGAAGGGGTATTCTTACCATTCATATTGAGATGTCAAGGATGCCATCCTTGAACTTGTCTGCAAACACCATGGCTAATGATTGAAGGTTTGAGCACAATGCCTCAATAGATTCCTGAGTACAGAGGTGGGTGAAATAGGATCATTCTTTCCTGAATGATTATTATCTAAAGGTTCTGTTTTACTAAGCCTCTTTCTTCAGTCTTTTGATTAGAGATCAAGTTCTTATTGGGGCTTTTTGTGTACAACTGTTGTTACTTTCCAGTTGTTTCCCTCTGTTTAAGCATGAGACCATGCTTATATAAGAGGTTGCAAAGAAATCCATGAAACTTCTGACAGTATTTTATTCAACAACCTTCTTCTGAGACTTCTTGTGTTTGTTTTATATATAATGGACAATACTTTTTGTTGTACTTAGTGAAAAAAAAATAGCTAAAATTTGCTAAGTGCATCTTCCCATTCCCATTTATTTTAAAAATAAGTATCTGACCTATTTACTATCCTGTAATAAAAAGTAGTATTTGCTTGAGAACAGCTGATGTAAAGTACTACAGAAAATGTAGGTCATGATTTCATAAATAGCCTAGAAGAATGGTTCTGAGGACTTAATACGCAATTAAACACTTGACAGGCTTTTTATTGCTGATTATTGAACTCAGAGGAGTAAGAGTTGGCATTCCTCATGAGTTCTTGGTGATGCTGCTGTGCTGCTGCTCTGGGGACCCAACTTTTTATAATCTCAGTTTTGCTTTTGTTTTTAATGCATAATTGGTGACAACACTAATTTTAAATGATGTTAATGGCATGTGTAGTTGCTTTGAGTAAAACTTAAAAATATGTGTAAAATAAACTTCAGATAAGATCAAAAGTGTCTGCAGATATTTATAAACTGACAAAAATTTTGTCATATTTTTAATGAAATGGATTTTCCTGTTATCCAGTGCTATTGCATGTGACATTTGAGAGGCCAAAAGAGTAGGGCATTAAGGTAAATGGTACTCATTTTATTACACCGAAAAGAATGTAGCAAAAAATCAGAGATATGCTCGTCAGTTGATTCTGTGTAAATAAAGCAACACCTGTTTCACTTAATCCCAGAAAAAGAATATTTGAGTGAGTATATTATGCCATTGTGGCAAGCTTAACATTTGCAAAAATCTTTTTTAAGACTCAGAGTTGATATTCAAAACTCTATTATATTGATCCAGACTAATGATGCTCAACCTGCTAATTAGTGTGTATATCATAGTACATAATACTCTCGCCACTAAGTTTCATCCTTTTTGTGTGTGTGCTGTTGAGCTGGTGAACAGAAATGATACTGGAATTAAAAGCTGTTTCTATCAATAGTATTATCATTAGTTTAGATGAAGGATGAACCTAGAAATGTTTTTCCCAGAAGATGATTAGGAATAAAAAGGAAAAATTTAAATAGTGAAATGTCAGAAAATAAATAGTGAAATGTCAGAATGAGGTCTCTTAGATATTAGTCTTGTTACAGACGTTGTTATAAGTGTTAATAAAGAAGCTAGGTTGTGAATATTCACAAATAATGATCCATATTTTATAGCCTGATATTTCACAGTAATAATGTATTTTTTTTTCTCTTCCAGCTCTGTTGGCTTAGCAAAGGCAGCTTTAGAAGCAATTAATGGATTCAACCTTTTTGGTAACCAGGTAAGAAATAAAAACATTGGGGCCAGTGCCATGGTATACCAGGCCAAGCTTCTGCTTGCGGGACCAGCATGCCATATGGGTGCCAGTTTGATTCTCCATTTCAAGTTCCAACTGTTCCACTTCCAATCCAGCTTTCTGCTGGTTGCCTGGGAAAAGAAGCAAAGGATGACCCAAGTCCTTGGGCCCCTCTTTACACCTACATGGGTGATCTGGAGGAAGTTTCTGGCTCCTAACTTCAGACATGCCAGCTCTTGCCCTTGCAGCCATTTGGGGAATAAACCAGCAGGCAGAGAATCTGTCTCTGTGTCCTTCTCTCCCTCTAACTCTGCCTTTATAATAAAAAAAATAATAATAAATAGTTTTTTAAAAAATAAAAACCTTGATTATTCAAATTTAAGTTTAATTAACTTAGCTACTCAGTCATAAATTATTTGCAGGATGGATGATGTGGGGACCTAGCAGCTTAAGAAATTGTGTAAAAAGAGCCTCTACGTGCCAACTGCCCCCAGCCCTATCCCATGTTAGACTTCTGGAATTTGTCCCTGTCTCCAACATCCATTCAGCTTTCTGCTGCCCTGAGCCCTACAAGGAAGCAGGTGATGGTTCAAGTACCTGGGTCCCTGCTACCAGGCAAGAGACGGATGGAATAACTTGTTCTTGTCTTCAGCCTGGCTCAGCCCTGGTTTTTGTGGGCATTTGCTGGTAAACCAGTGTGTTCCCTCTGGCTGTGTCATTCTGCCTTTCAAAGGAATAAAAGCAAATAAGTTTCTGTTAAAATAAAGCAAAAATATAATCAGAATATCTGAAATTTACGTAATAGCTTGTGCGTAAATAAGTTTTCTTTTGAAAATTACAGTTTTCTAACTAAAAACCATGACTTAATTTTGAAAAAAAAAAAAAACCTCTTGATAGAGAGTGCTGTTTTATTTATTAACTTTTCCCTGTAGTATCTTATGCATTTCTTAGAAGTTTCACATTTTTGAGTATTTATTGACATTAAATAACACACTTTTTTTCATCTGACTTCAGGTTGGTTATAGTTAATATATGTCATTGGTTATTTCTTGCAGAGCAACATTTGTGTAAAATATACAGTCAGAGAATTGGACATTTTGATCTTAGTATCACCCTCAATTCCTACTAACAGATGTCTGAAATCTCATTTTCCAAAGGGATAAAAAGACTAATCAAGGTCTAATCAACTAACCATGGACTGATTTGTCAATAGAAGGCAGTATAGTGCCGAGGCTTTCAGTCTGAATCAAAAATGTATCCTAATTTTCTTTAACATTTTTGTGAAGATTCCCTTGATCGCAGGCAAAATGAGGCTTCCAACTGATATCATAACTAACCCTGAGCTGTGAAAATCCTCAGTTGATGAAGGTACAGTTTAGGAAGTTACATGGAAGTATCAAAAAGAGACATAGTTTTTGGTTAGGCAGGGAAAATTGTATATCTCTGAGGTCTTGAATTTAATTAGTTTCAAATTACAATGTGGTAGTGCAAAGCTCTCATCCATTTACACCCCAGCTTCCTGTAGCAGATGGGCTCTGATTGTATTCAGGGCATGAGAAATGATTATAGAGAAGATTAGAAAGAGAACAGTACCTCTTTCTCACCTAGATCCCTAAGTGATGACTCTGGATTACCCATTTCCCATGTACGTAGATAGATAAATAAATACATGGGACTAATTGTATTTTACAAGTGCGAGTCAAGAGTTAGGATCACTCTATGCTCTGTAATTCTACCAGTAATTTCCTTGACTTTGACCCATTACTTATATAAGTTTTAGCTTTCTTATATGACAGAGAGATAATGATAATAGAATCTGATTAAACATTTTCATGCAAAATCAACTTATTTAGCAGAATTATTGCCAAAAAAATGAATATTGTATCTTGCTGCTGTTATGAATGAAGTACTGATAATACTGAAGATGGGAAATTCAGAGTTCAGACAGTCATCTAAAGAGAGTATCTCAAGGAGAATGAGAGGAATCACGGCATAAACGGAAGTGGCATAATTGAAATCTGAAAGATACAGGCTTTCTTACGCTACCTTCATTGCATAACAAATAGTGAACTGAGTATCAGCATTGGCTGTTACTCTCTAGTAGCCAGCAGTACTTGTAATCTATCACATCCTTTGAAGTCCCTGGATCTTAGTGTATATTATTTTTCATATCTCTGCATCCTTTTCACTACATTTATGCCCTCTACATATATGCCTAACTCAACTCATCTGCTTTTCCCAGGAAGTATTTTTATAGATTTCTCAACTGTAAGTCTAAACCACTGAAAATTGCTTTCTGTGCATCTAAATTCTGAGTTATAAATGTACTGCCAGTGTTATTCCTCAGCTAGTTTCTCAGTTGGAATCTTGGATTCATTTGAGGAATTTTAAAAAGTATTGGCGCCTGGGCTCTACCCCCAGGGATTCTGATTTAATTGATGTGGGAGGATGCCTTGGCATTGAGGTTTCTGAAAACTCTCCAGGAATTCTAATATACAGCCAAGGATGAGAACAACTGTTCTACGGAGAGTTCATTTTGGATCCCTGTTGAGACCATGTCCATTTTCAATGGAGCTTCATGGCAAATGTGTATAGAATTGACCATCCCTTGATCATTTCAAATAGAAATAATTCCTTAAGCCACAAGAAGGACTGCTTTACAAGTGGAGCCATTGCCTTTTTCACAGGATAGTCAAAGTATCAATGTCCCAGTTTTACAAATGTCCTTCTATCTTTTTTCCTGATATATAGAATTGAAGAAAATTTTAGCATTCTTACCTGTATAACGGTAGAATTAATAATGTTCCTGCTAAACAGTAGCAAATTTGTAAGTGCATTTGATTTTTTGTTGTGTCACTCCATGTACTTAAAAGTGTTGTGATCTTAGTTAAACTTTGATAAGAACTGACATAAAAAAGGGTTCTTCATCAAATAGAAACCCAAAGAAACCTCAAAACTTGGGAGATTTCATATCATGTGTGTCTTTAGAGTTATTTTTGAAGATTGTGCATACAGTATTCTGGGGATTGGATCATGTGTTCTTAAGAGATTTAATTTAGAGCTTTGAAAAAGTGTATGCCTCATTGGTGGTAACTCAAGAGAGGCAAAGGCCTTTGGAGACCAAAGGTCTCATCTCTAAAATATGAGTCTTCTACCTCAGAGGGTTGAAGTAGCTGTTCTCTCTCTTTTTATTCTTTCAACATTCACCTTGTGTATTACTCAAGAAAATAGCCCTTTGCCTAAAACTGCATTTTCTAAAAACTATGTATAATAAAATGGCCCAAAATTGTAATGCTAAGTTTACCTTAAGACTGATTTAGAGTAGAGTCACAATTAAGAAACAGATACATCTTCTGTTGACGGGATCAACAACATTTCAGAACTAATGAAACCACCTGGGCAGAACCCTCAGCGTGTGTGGCTACATTGGGACCCTGGGTTGATATTGGGTGGCCAATCCCCATTCCTGGATGCTGGGATGGTTGGAAGGCTTGGTATGACTTATCCCCTTACCCTCCCTCTTACCCCACCCCAAAACAAGAAATAGAAATATAAAGTTTGGAAACAGTGTTCACACCCACTTTTCCCTAACCCTTGATCCATCTCATTCTTTTCAAGTATGTTAATATCATTAAAAAAACCCGCTTGTAATCTTAAGTATGTGAATCATGTATTTAATTATTATTTCAGATGTTTTCTGTATAAATATACTGACAAGTATATACACTTATCAATATTTGACAGTATTTTAATAATATTATTTAAGTAAATCATAGACATAGTATGCAACATCTCTGAATTTGGGGTTTATATCTCAGCTCTGCTTTTCTGAGACCCTGATAATTAGGGCTGAGGTTCATTTTTCTTATAGTTTGGGAATCCCTTTAACAATATGTGAGCAGAATTCCCCGTAAAGGAGAGGAGCCTGGACTGTGAGAGGCACTGCTGGAAGCAACTCTTGGATCTGTTAGAAAAAGTTACTTGTTTACACACCCCGGGCCACCATAACTATGGTGTCGAAGGGGATTCCTACTCGTTTTGGCACACTGCTTTCCATATTCTGCCAGAAAGCCTGCAGGAACTAGCAAAAAAAAAAAAAATCTCCTGACAGTATTTAACATGGCTGGTTTTGTTTCCAAAATAAGAACTGAAATGGTCATGTGAAGTAGATCTACTGACCATTTTCCTATTGTTTTAGTTTTTGATCCCGAATGAGAACAGCAAGTTCATTAGTCAGTCCCAGAGAAATGAATAAAATTAGGAAGAGGAAGATCCATTTTACTTTTCATTTCGACTGTGAGATCAGGGGTCATGGATAATATATTTGGCCTTAAAGACCATCTCAAAGTATTTGTTCTGGTCTTGATAATAGAAGAAAGAGGTAGTTGGGTCAGTGAGGCCCTTCCTCATTATTGACATCCAAGTCCTCATCACGCTGGTCAAGTTAGGATACTCATCTAGTGTTTTCACTAGTCAAAAACAGTTAAAGAAACCTAGCTGGGGAATAAACATTGAGCTGTCAGTCTTAAAATATGCTGTGTATATGGAATGAGGATATTATGACGGGGTTGTGATGATTTTAAGCCACGGTAGAAGAAAATAAAATATCCAAAGTTAATCAGGTACTCTGAAGTGACATGTACACGTAAAACACCCTTTCATATTCCTGACTTTGATTGGACAAATCAAGATACTGACAAATGAGCTGATGCCAGAATCTAAAAGGTGATGACTAGAGTGATTGCTCATGTTATGCAAAGTATTCAAAGTGATACTGACATCTAGCTTCCTTTGAAACTTGCAGGCCTAAAATTAATGTGTCTGGTAATTTAAAGGAGGTGATAATTAAATCCTTGTTTGTGCTATCCTTTGCTGACTTTTTAAAAACACTTGTTTCTGGATGGATGATTGTTTCCTATTCCCTGGGTAATCTTACCCTTCTGAAAATCTGGACAATATTGCCAAAACTGTGGTATATTTTTTAAAAGGGCAGATAAACAATAAAGTTAACCTTTTTTTTTTTTTTTACCTTTTTTTCTAACCTTTAAGTTAAAATAGGTGAGCACTCTGAGTTTATTTTTTCCTTTGGGCATGTTTCCTGGAGGCTGGCAGAAGAAAACTGAGGCCTGAATAAACAACACTTCATGAAATTAGATAAATAAGCCATTTACGTGTGGCTAGAAAATGCAAGTTGGCAGTTTATAGTAGTTAGATAAGAGAGAGAATTGCCAAATTTTCCGTTTCAATTCATTATTTATACAATGTCCCATGTAGATTGCATCTCTTAAAAATCCAGTTCCAGGGTAGGAATTTGGCATGCAATTAACTTTAATAATTACTGGCCTAAAGATAGATTATAACTCTTAATTAATTTGTGTATTCATGGGCACCTTATGTATTACACTCATCTGTTTTCCTGCTGCTTTGTTCTAACCATCCTACTTCTCTTTTCTCTGACGTTCCAATCCTAGCTTCGGCTCTCATAATCTCCATAAAGTGCCCAAACATCCCTGGGGATGTTGCATAATTACTATTCTTCCATCTGAGTCATGTGGTGTTTAGCCACGTATTGCAATGTACAGTTTTTCTGTTTCTTTGGTAAATGTCTTGTTTAAGATTGTGTGTCACCTGAGTTAGTCCCTTGAGAGCACAGGTTGTTGTCAGATCTGGTTTGTTTTCTACCAAGCAGAGTGTATGGCACTCTGCTAGCAACAGCTTTGGCTTGAAGCTCTGTCGGATAAGTAAAGAGGCTGGGACTCTGAAATTACACGAAAATTTAGCATTGGTCTGGCTGTTGAGACACATCCTCACCCTCCCCTGTTCATTTATTAATCCACCTGACAAAGTTGAAGATTTTGAAACTCGATGTTATAAAAGAGAAATCATTTCTATTTTAAGAGCTAATAATGTTCATGTATGAGCTTGAATTAATAGGAAATATATTTATCTGATGTGTCTGATGTTTGGTTTAAAGGTTTGATGCAACTGAGTTTTGAAGTTTCAGTCTGATTGGAGATATTTTAGTTTCAGGCTGAAATTGGAATGACATCCAGAAAGTCTTATTGAAGCAGCATGAAATTTATGGTAGTTCTCTTCTTCCCCCTGCCCTGCCCCGTATGTTTTTCTGAATATTCTCTTATAATGAAAGCAGTCTTTGCATTTGCATTTCATTCTGTGTTTTCAAATGCATAGCTCCTCATTAAAGGAAGCCATGTTTACTTAGAATTCTGCTGTTGAATGTAGAATCCACTACTAGCTAAATGCTAATTAACTCGATAGGCAGAAACATTGATACTGTCTCTTACATTTTCTTTTTCTTATAAAAGACTTATTTATTTGAAGGAATTATACACACACAGCAAGGTCTTCCAGATGGCCCAATAGTTAGCTCTTTTGCCAAAGCCTGGAGCCAGGAGCTCTATCCAGGTCTCCCACATGGGTGCAGGGTTGAGTCATCCTATTTTGGTCTCTGGATCATTAACAGGAAGGTAGGTAAGTTGTGGAGCAGCCAGAACTTTAACCAGCACTCACAGGGGATGCTGGTTTGACAGCAGTGGCTTAACCCAGTATGCCAAAATGCTGGCCCCAACATTGTCCGTTACACCTATGCTGCTTCTCAAGCTTTGCTGTTACTTCTCAGAGTTTTTTAAAGCATGGTAAATTTTATAATATAGTGATTAAAGCATACATTTCTGTATAGGATTCTTGATTGTAAACCTTTGCTCTATGTCTGTGAGACTTTAAAGTTTTCTTGTAAAAACTTTACTGACTCAAATCAGTTTAATAATATCTGCATGTGGGGATTAAAGAAGCCATGTGAAATGTACACCACAGTGCCTGCCTGACACTCAGTAGTTGAGACTCTCTTCATTTTTGTGAAGTACTTTGTCTTATATCCATAGTCCTAGATTATTTTTAAGGTTTTTTTTTAGGTTGATTATATAGTCAGTATTCTTTATAAAGAGTATATAAATCAGAGTTTGTAAGACTGAATTCGTTCTTGCTTTGTCTCTTGTCATGGAGGGAAAAGATTTGCGATACAATAATTATCCTTCATTGGTTATCATATAATTAATACATCACATTTGATTCCTAAGAACATCATGGAAACGGGGAAATATAAGGCAATCTTTTGTGATTATAAAATTAATACCTAATGCAACAAATTTGAGAAATACTAAAAATTTGAGAATTACTAGAAGTGCAAACATTCAAAACCTTCCGGAGCCCTACACTCAAATGCAGTCACTATAAAAATATTTTAGAGTTGCTGAATGTTCTGTAAGTCCATTTTCTTAAGGATTTAAGAATTTTTGTTTTTGTTTTTTGCAGGGCTGTTCTTGGTCTGTTATATTTGTGGATCTTGATGCTCACAATCGCAACCGGCAAACTTTGTGCTCATTATTACCCAGAGAATCAAGATCTCATGTAAGTTGTTTTCATGATAAATTGATGTGGACTGTGATTTAGGATTTGTACTTAGTTCCCGTTTGTTTCAGAAGAGGGCACCATAGAATGTTCGAGGTCATCCCAGAGATGAGAAGACACGATGGATGTCCTCTTATTCTTCAGCCTTCTGAGGTCTTAGAGAGCGAACGTTTCTGGAAAATCTGTTTTGTCTTTTGAGTCTTTTGTGGAACAATAGAAAAACAGAATTATTTTTGAAATAAAAGTAGTAGCTACCAAACTAAATCATTTTTTGCCATGGCATATTTGAAAATTTCGTTTGGTTTTTTTTTTTGGATAAGGTTTTTCATGTTCCTCTTTCTCTTCCATTTAATTCCCTTGTGTTTTTCATTGGCTGATAAGCGTTAATATGCTTATACTACCTTATTTCACATTTTCCTAGGAGTTGCTAGTTTTACTTTACAAAACACTCAAAGTGTAATAATTTAATTATTTTTAAATAGTCATGTTTTAAAATCATGCAAGATAATGATAGAAAAATAAAACCCAGTGATATATAATAGTTGCTCATTTTAGCATTCACATAATCTCATGGCAACAGTTTTTTTTAATGTTTTTACATATATACATAATGTTTTTATTTTGCAGACCCAGAACACTGTTGTTCATGATTGGCATTCTATTTCTGTGAATGGACGTGTCAATAAACTGATTTCTACAATATAAATTTTAATGTCTGCTAACTACTTGCCTAATGTTGGACATTTTCTCTTCATTATTATAGGCTGATTTTTATGAAAAGCCAAATTGTGATGGCAATTAGTGTTAACTTTTTGCGTACTGGTTTAACTATTTTGGAACTTGAGTCCAGTGTTAAGTTATGGGAATACTTTATCAGTGAATACAGTTTTGTTTCCTTTGTAAGGTTCATTGAAGCTTGCCGTAGAAATATCTGTCAGGCCCGTGGAGCAGAGCAAGCTCACTGTCAGTTACATAAGCTATGTGACTTTTCATCTCTGTGATATTCCTTGGGCTGCAGAGTGCCACGGCAGGTACTCACCCTCCTTTTCTTAATGTCCCCAGAACACAGATGCTGCCCTCCTCCCTTGTATCAGTTATCCTGCATTTGCCCTGGATGATGATGTTCTGTTTAACCAGACACTTGATAAGGTCATTAGAAAATTGAAAGGAAAATATGGATTTAAGCGCTTCTTGAGAGATGGCTACAGGACTTCACTGGAAGATCCCAACAGACGCTACTATAAACCAGCCGAAATTAAGGTATCAAAAAATACTCCATGGATTGGCTTTTAACCTGATGTTTGTGACATTTGTTAAGATATCTGTGTTCCACATCAAAGAGTTTACAGTGATGGTTTGATGGCTGCTTCAGCTGCTGACTCCAGCTTCCTGCAAATACAGAGCCTGACAGACATCAGTGATGGCTTAAGTAACTGGATTCCTGTCACTCATGTGGGAGACCTGGATTGTACCCACCTGTTGTGGATAATGGGGATTAAGTCAGCAGGTGGGAGTGGTCTCTCTAGTTTTCTTTCTCTCTCTCTCTGCTTGTCAAATTAATGACTAAATAGAATTTTTAAAAATTCCACATGGCTGGAACAAGTCTGAGCAAAAGTACACATTTAGGAGGCTGGCTTATTGAGTTCAATATTCTGACTCTGCCAAAATAGCAGTCGTGGTCTTGAAGTAAATTAAGTAACTTCTTTGATCAGTATTCTTCATTGGCAAAATACTGGTCTACAGCATAAGCTTCTTGTGTTGATTAACTGACTTAATATAACGTATGAAAGGGTTTAGACAACAGTGGTTGGCACACAGTAAGGTTTCAGGGTTAGTTTTTATTACAGGGGCAACTCATTTGCTCCAATTGGGCCATATCAGTTAACTTCATGAACAGTTTTTCTATTGAATATCCAGACATTTGCCTGTCTGCCCTATAATTTTTTCTAAGAATAGGCTTTTTTATTTTGGTTAAAAAAATGAGATTCATCCTTAAGTGTTTATGGAAAATATATATTGTGAATAAACTGCATAGATTTTTTTAGCACCAAAATGAATGTTTTTAAATCAAGTTTTTCTACATTTTTTAAGTACTCAGTATCTCTTTGTTACCCAGATTTCAGTTTATTAAGAAACTGTCTCATTAAAACTGACATTCAGGCTCAGCACAATGGGCCAGTTGCTAATTCCTCGCTTTGCAAATGCCAGAATCCCATGTGGGCACAGGTTCATGTCCTAGCTGCTCCACTTGCCATCCACATTCCTACATCCACATCAGAGACCTGAAGGAGGCACCTGACTCCCGGCTTCAGATTGGCTCAGCTCCAGCTGTTAAGGCCATTTGGGGAGTGAGCCAGCAGAAGGAAGATCTGTCTTTCCTTCTCTCTGTAAATCTGCCTTTTCCATTAAAAAAATATAATCTTAAGAAATGACTTCATTTAGACAGTAGTCTTTGCAGTACAGCTTTCAAACTATTTAGTTTTAGAAACTATACTGCTACCTTCAGGTTTATGTTAACCACTTGTAAGCTGTCCAAAAAACTGCTACATGCCCCCAAAATTAATCGTCTGTGACACTGCTCTAAGATTTTTGCTACAGTGGAACAGATTGAAAATTAAGCATGTTCACAACTTTGAATCACTCACTGAGGGTAAGTAGTGTGTGCATGAGTCAGTAGATAGATAATATCTAGGCATCAGCAGACCTTGTAATTTGTTTGGCAGTTAACATTCTAAGATTCAGCAGGCACTTAGGTGTTCTAGACAGCTAGATGAGCTATTTATTATTTAATTTCACAGCGGACTATAATTTTGGGGCATTTGGAATCAATTTTATTACATACAGGTTCCAAATGTTGCAGTAGCATTAGCATTGTTAACTATTTGTTAGGTTGGGCACAAGATTGACTTATCTTGTAAATGACTTCAAGATATTTCTTTTCTCGTTACTTCATTACCTGAACTGACTTTCAACACATTTTAATTATACCTCCTGCAGTTTCCATCATGTATACTTGTAACTTTGCGTTAGTACAACAATCACCTCTATGCTACTAAGCATCTCAAGGTGCCACCCCAAATCTAGGACATCCATCTTGGTTCATCTTCATCACTGCTTTCACTCCTTGTCAGTTCTTCTGTGCCAGGAATTTTAAAGCATTTTTAACTTCTTTTCCTTTTTTAAAAAATTTTAAATTACCAGCATTTTCCTCTTATTTCCTGCTCGATAGCCTTTTATTTCTACATGGCTTCTTCTACTGCATTTTTCCTATTCATACTTATCTCCATACCTCTTGTCTTACACACGGTGCTGTCTTTTCTTCTTTACCGGGCTACATATGTATTCCATCATAATCTTTCTTACTTTCCTAGGATTCTCATTGAAGGTTAGTTTCTTTCTTTACTAGATGCATGGCCATCTCTTTTGGTTTCTCTCTTCTCTGCTTTTCCCTTCTATTTTACTCCTCCAACTTAGCTTCTTTAGCATAAATACACTGGTGCATATCATTAAACAAGTAAATAAAACCCCCTCCCAACTCCTTTTCCTGTCTGCCTCCCATTGTCTTTGTCCTTGAAGCCGCCTTTCCGAAGAGTGTGGTCTGCACTTGGTGTCTCGTTTGCCTCCAGCTAACACTTATTCCTTATAATCTGGCTCTTCTCCCAACATTCCCTTGGTATATTCATTTAGGTCACTGGATACTGGGGGTGCCTTTCTGACCTTATGCCACCAAATGACTCTTTGGCGTGGAATGTTTTAACCAAGTCTTCTCTTTTGGAACACACTCTATTGCCATGACCTATTCCCTCCCTAGTTCTCACTCACTTCCCTTCTCCAGTCTCCTTTCTTCTTCTGCCTCGTCTTACACATTACTCTTTTCCAGGTCTCCATCCTCAGCCCAGTTGGCCTTTCATTTCATTGTATTTATTCCTGACTCATCCCCCCCGAGTACCCTACCCATGGCTGCAGCTGCCTTTTGCCATCTTTATTTAAATGCCCTACAGTCTACCTGTATCAAACTTAACACTCTTCTGTGCCAGACCTGAGAGTCGTTCTAGGCTCCTTCTGCTGGCACACATGTCTGTCATTAACCCACACTGGCTGCCCCCTCCCCCCATGAAATCATGTTTTCTTTTTTAAAAGATTTTTCTGTTTTTTAATTTTTTTATGATATAGTTCTGTAGCCTTAGGGTTCTCCCATCCCTCTCTTACTATCTCCCCTACTCCCACCCTGATTTCCCTATGTTACTACAATTGTGTAGTCCTTCAACAACAGTCAGAATACCAGAATGAAGGCTAGAATATTTAGCCATCTTAAAATCCTCTTTGGTAACACTTGGCAATTTCTCCAGACTTTTTTGATTATGAGAACTTGGTGGGTGCCACTGACATGTGTAAAGAATGGGGTCAGGAATCCAGGACAGCCCTTGCCCACAGCAAAGGTGTATTTGGCCCCAAAATATCAGTTGTACCCAAGTTGAGACTCCCCAATTTAAGTAATCATCTTTTCTCTTTAGATTGCTCTGGTAACCTTACAACCAATTTCTTTACTTCTTACCCTACAGCTCTCTTCACTACTGCCAGCTGTCTGCCAAAGCCATTAAATCTAATGAACAAATCTCACCCCGCTCAGCATTCCTCAGTCACTGTACTTCCAGTCACAGTCTCAGTCTTTATGCTTGATCTGTAAGCCCTTTCGGACACAGTTGGCCCCGCCTGTCTTTTGTGCTTTCGTTTTCACTCCTTTTCCCTGCATAATCCAGAGATACCGAATTGCTGGTACTAGCCTGAATACACCTGATGTCTCTACACATGTGTAAATTGTACTGTTATTGCTGTGTGTGAAGTTTTCTTGTCTTCCCAAAGAAGTCCATCAAGCATTAGTGGAAGCATCTTTGCTAGAAACTTCCCAACCTCCAGGAGAGGCTCATGATTTCCATTTTGTATGTTCCTGATAGACTATGTGCAGTGGTTTGGTACTGCTGGCCTCCCCGCTAAGCTGTGAGCTGTTGAAGGCTTTTGTCTTCATAGCTCTCTATCGAGTCAACACCAGGCATTAGTAAATAGTAATTACTTATTGATTGACTGCTAATGGATGAATTGAATTAATGAGCTTTGGCATAATAGGATCCTAGGAAATTTCAGGAATAACAGTATACTCATAAAATCAGTTGAATTTTAGATTATTACTCTAAATAAATCATTTCCATAGACCTGAATTGTAATTTTTCTGATTTGTTAGGGGAATCCTAATGTTTTGTTTTCTGTTTTAGCTATTTGATGGCATTGAATGTGAATTTCCCATATTTTTCCTTTACATGATGATTGATGGTAAGTGAGCTTTTACGTAAAATTAAAGCTATTGGGTATAAGTGACTGAAAGAAGAAAAATGAAATATGACTTCTTTCAGTTAGCAAAATAAACTGTACTTCAATAATGTTTACTGCTCTGCACTTCTATGTGGTTATGTTTTCCTAGTGGGTATTAAATTATTAAAAAATTTAAGAATACTTTGAAATATTTAAAAATGATACAATATACTCTAGAACAGAGATCATTTGATTAAAGCTTAGTTTTCAAGTTTAATTGCTAACAAGACTTTCTAAAATGCATTTCTTGGAAAAATATCACACGCATTCGCATAACATTTTCAGTTTTACTCTTTAGTTTTGTCTTTTACATGGAACTGATGTAATTATAACTGGGCTAACAGATTTTTCTGTGGTAAAAACTTTGTAATGTTTATTGAACTCAGTTGCTAATAGTCTTTATATTTTACTTCTTAGGAGTTTTATTTTTTTCCTTCTTACATTGTTTTCTTTCTTTTTTAAAAATTAATTATGTTGCATTATGTGACACAGTTTCATAGGCTCTGGGATTCCCCCAACCCCTCCCTGTATCCTCCGTCTATGGGGGATTCCTCCACCTTGTTGCAGTATTACAGTTCAGATTCAGTCAAGATTCTTTCTTTGCAAACATATACCAAGCATAGAGTCCAGCTTCTAATTGTTCAGATAAATTCAACGGTTTCTTGGGGAAACCATCTCTGGTCTGAAGGTAGAGCTGGCAGAATATCATCCCAATCAATTGGAAGCCCCAGCACAACACCAACAACAATTTATAACGTTATGGAATTAACAGACATGGCATCGAGTATTCAATATGTTAAAACAATGCAAGTTCTTAACCACATCCTGTGACTACTTCATTGACATTTCAATGTTAGTTTATATATAGAATGGGCTGCTATACACCTTAAAATGGCCATAGGGTGCTATTCAGCTGTCTCGTGCCTATTTTCATTTTAGTATGTAGCAGTTTATAGTGTTGAAGCATAATTCTGCTGAACTTGGCAGATTTCAGGGTAGTCTAAACTAGTTTATAACTCTAACAAGGCATAAATCAACAGTTGAGGTGCAAAACAGTTTTAGGAGGTGTGTGCAGAGAAATCCTCAATACCCTAGTGAGGAGTAACTAATCTTTGTGTCCTACGTAGTAAGGTATATATGAATCCACGCTGACCATTTCCTGTTTGGTTCTAAGCTTTCCTTGTTTTTTTTTGTTTGTTTGTTTGCTTTTTTTTGAGTGGGGGGGGTTCTGGAGTAACCCTGATGGTCATTGCAACAGAGGGTGGGGATCCAAAGTTGGAACTAAGTAAGGACCAGAGAAAGCTCCTCTCTTTAGTCCCGAAAGAAGTTTATTATTCTTCTGTTTCTGTGGACCGTTCAGGGCTCCTGGCTGTTGTTCCGATGACCTTGGATCCTTCGATGAAGGATTTGGGCTTCTTCCTTGCCATTTGGTAGATCTAAACGGGGGTCGGTGACCTCAGAGTTCTTGGCCTACGAAGGCACCCCAATTCCCCATGGTCTCCTTGGCAATTGGGATGTAGTCCTTGCTACCTGTACTGATAGTCCTTGGTGAGGATCTGGGAGTCTCCAGGGTTGGGATACACGCCTTCTCCAGTCTGCCTGCTCCATTCTGTGCGTATGACCTCCTGTAAAGAGCTTGTCAGGATCGCTCCTAATTGCCCCTGTATGTCTTTGTAGTTTCACTATTGTCTAATGCTGATTGGAGTCTGTTGTCTGTGAGTTACCTGTTATGTTCCTGATAGGTTATACTTCACGTCTTCCTCACACATTCTAAGGAGATGGAAGATTGCTTAGTTGCTAATGGGTAACTCAGTTGCTCATAGGCTTTGTATTTTACTTCTTAGGAGTTTTTAGAGGCAATCCTCAACAAGTAAAGGAGTATCAGGATCTTTTGACTCCAGTGCTTCATCAGACCACAGAAGGTATAGTCTTCTTTCCTGTCAAGATTTCCTTACTGTCCCTTTGACATGTGTAAAAGAATCCTGTATAAAATACTACACTTTGTATTGTATTGAAATATTGAATGTGTCTCACCTGAAATTTGAAAGAATAGTCTGCATTAATTTGTTGTAATTTTTTTAATTAAAGGAGATCATTAGACAAGGATGGGCATAAATTCAGGAGTTCATAAATATTATAGTTTTATAGTATTAATTAATATTATAATTCTATAGTAATTCTAAGGCAGTTGCCAAGTGGGCAAAGTTTTTTCATCTGCTTCTTATTTGTAAGTTCTTTATTTTGTAGTTTTACAATAATATTATCTAGGTCACCAAAGATGCTATGGTAAGCCCAGTGTTTCCTCTCCTTAGAGAGACTCCAGTCTGACCTAAAGCTACTAGCATTACAAAGAACATTTAACCTCATCTTTGGAGTTGCTTCTAGAACATTTGGCATTTTGCTTGCAATGCCTGTTGTGGTCTTAAAATGTCATTTTTTGAGGGCTGAATTAATATTTTATAAGTGATCAGAATGCTGAATTTTCTAAGTAAGGTCAAAACGCTCAGTTTTATAAGTGAGAGTACATTGATTTCTTTCCAATACCAGCAGTGACTATTAAGGGAAAATAATTGATGTTCCTGTGTGTCTGGAGAAGTAATTCTCACTGGAGCTCCAAAGATGATGTACTAGATATCATTGGGGTTTGGAAATGGTAAAACTGTAAGAATATATTCTCATGAGTTGACATCTTTGAAGTAAGTTAAAATTAGTAATGTGATTATTAAAACAAAACAAAGATTATTTTTATGAACACAATATAATGTGTAACCTGCAATCATATCCTTGGAAGTATTCCTTTCTTACATGCTGTTATATTCTTTGGGCTTCTCCACAAACATCTTAAAGTAAATACTTCATAGTTAGTCTCACCCTTTTGAATGTTTACAATTCTAAAAGTTGTGGATGAACATTGAATGCCAAAAAATAATAATTTTAAAAGTCAATTATGTATGTGTTTTCCCAGTATTAAATAATAATACAATGTACTTTGTAACTAATGTAACATATGGAATCTCTTTAGTGTTCAAAAGTAGATCATGATGCCTTTGAGGCAGGATGGGTGAATGGATGGAGAGATAGACACACAGATTGCTCACCTACAGCAGAAAATCTGATATGTGGCAAACACTAATAATATCATGTTATAACCAAGTCTTGATAAGATGTCCAAATCATCAGACTTGGGACCAGCACTGTATACAAACACTTTGCCTATTACATCACAGCACTGGCCCTGCAAAAACTACTTTTACCAGGTCAGGTGGCCATCTTAATTACTGACCAACTTTGCTTCATCATGATAATAAAAAATATAGAGCATGGGAGGAGACAGGAAGCTCATGAAACGTGCAATGTGTGTCACAGCATGTTATCCCAGTTGCTCATATGGGAACAAAGATCTACCCATAATGTGGTAAAGGATCTACCTATTAGTAACATGTACTGCCCATGTTAGATAAATATGATGTAAGATTCTACCCCTAGCCCCTGTGTACACAGCTCTCTCAAGTATACCTCAGTTAGCCATCTGATGTATACTTTTTCAGGGGTCAGAAAATCCTACTGTGCTTTGTCTGTGTCCCATCCTCTAATTCTTTCTTGTGTTAATAAGAATCTGGGTCCCTTGCCTCTAACACATTGAGGTGGTGGCTTAATTCCCCACAGGTTTCATCAAGCTCAGGCAATGTTGCTCAGAATATTCTCTTTGTCATAAACATTTTTACTAGTCAGATGCTAGAGACTAGTGGCGAAAGGAAACAAAATTTTGGGGGAAATTGGTTGGTGTATTTTTTTTAGTGAATTAAGTTTACTGTGCACTTAGGTTGCAGAAAGTCTCCTGCAACACATTGTTGTGTCATCCATAGACAAATTACTCGTTTCTCGTTAAAATGTTCGGTTTCTGCAAAGAATCTTTTTAAATGAATTTGCCACAGGACAAAACAGTTTGTATTTTCTTGAATGATACTAACTGAAGGATAAGGGGCTTAATGTTAGCAGTGATTTATTTGCTTGAAGCAGTGTGTCAAGGTTATAGTTCTTCATTGAAGATTACAGTGGATATCTTATTTGTGATGCTTCCACGGACTAACCCTGTGAAAATATCTCCCTATATAGCTCTAAATACTTAAATATTAAACATTTATTTATATTAGTAATGGAGATTATGTGCCCATCACTGGCTAAAGTATAATTTATGATATGTTATCAAATTATTTTAAAAAATCAAAACAATCTCTTTTTAAATAGATAGATTTTTAAAAAGATATTCCATCTTCTTTAGTTGGTCAAGTGTTACCACCTTTACAACCTTTCTCTTTTCCTACTTTCTAATCATTGTAGTTTCTTGAAGGGAAACCTGGAGAGGACACAGATTTGTTATATTTTAAATACTTATTTCTAAACTCTGTAGGATATCCTGTGGTACCCAAGTACTATTATGTGCCAGCTGACTTTGTAGAATATGAAAAAACAAGCCCTGGTAGTCAAAAGCGATTTCCGAGCAATTGTGGCCGTGATGGGAAACTGTTTCTATGGGGACAAGCCCTTTACATCATTGCAAAACTCCTGGGTGAGTGAAGAAACTTTTTTTTTTTTTAACCTCAGTATCAAGCCATTAGTAACTCTGTGTCTTTGCTAATGTTTTTCATGAGTTTAAGAAATGTTTCATTCTATTAAAAAGTCTTGGGGAAATTTTTCTTGGTGTGTAAATTTCCTTGGTATATAATTGTGTTAATGCATTGATTTCATTGGATGATGATGAAGTCAAATAGGTGTATATACCATTATGGTCATTTAGGTGGCTTCATTCAGTAGTTAGATTTCTAGCAGATGTCTGTGGATGCCTTAGTTACTTTTATATGAGGTAATAAAATTCTGATTTAATGTAACAGTCCAGCTTGGTCATGGCTTTGGTAAACCATTTGCTGTAAGGAATCGGTCATCTCAACGTTCTCTTTTCTAATGAATACTTATTGGGAATTTTGTATTAGCTGCCCATTATCCATACATTTTGAAGTTCTCTTTTAGCTTTTTCTATAACTGTAGCTGCACCAGAGTACTTTTAGAAATGCTGCAATTAAAGCAAGTTTGATAAACAGAAAAAAGCATATGTATCATTCTTTGTGAAAATTTGAAATGGTATTAGCATTTGCACAAGAAGAATTGTATCACTTTAGAGCCAAAATTCCTTTAAGGCAAGTAGATTATGAAATAGGCCAATTGTAAACACTGTACCTGCACTAGAAGAACTGCTTTCAGTATGAAATACTGTTATTATCTTTGTTGTTTCTAGAATTATAGCATTATTTCTAAATTTTTGCTACAAGAGTAATCATTTTTGGTTTCTTTTTTTATATTCCATTAGGGAAGAGTATTTCAAAGGCCAGATTTCCAATTTGAGCTTTATACAAATGATATGTAAGAGCTGACAGAAGCTAACTAAAAAAAGGAAAATTAAAATAATGCTATTTTCAATATGCTCCCATGCTGTATTTTCTGATTCTCTGTATATACTTAATACCAATTTAAGAACATGTAGAAACTTTCTCTTGCTCTAAACAGAAAGCTTTTTGACAAGGAATTGATATTATTGATATAGATTTTGTGTTTAGATTTTCCAAAGGGGGAAAAAAGTACACATTAGGTAGTTTCTGTAGAATCCAGTTGAGCGAAAATTTATTTCTGGCCAGCATGTTATTTCTATCACTTGGCACAAATGCCGAGGTAAATGGCATAGATAAACACAAATTAAAATTTTAATATTCAAGGTATAGGTTTCTATATACTATGCTTGGAAATAATAAGTATGTATTTATTCAATGACATTGATTTAATGGACATTTATTTAATGACATTTTTTCTGTGATTCTGAGACTAATAAGACCTGGTACCTGGGACTTGCAATTTGAGATCTACAGCTTATTTTTCCTGCTTTTTGCTGAATTTCTGGCCTGGGGTTAATATAACCAGAAAAAGTGCTGTTTGAACAAAGTATCACGGTTAAATTGACAAGCTTAATGTATAGGAAAGGCAGAATTGATTCTATTGCACATAAATAAATTGAGCTTTAAAAAAAATGAAAAAATGTTTTTGAAAGCATTGGAGCTTGTTTCGAATAAATGTGTTGACTGTAGGCAATATTTCCTCACATTAAGATCAGAATGAGCATAAGTATTACAGTTCATACCTTTATTTCTCTTGCACCACTAGAAAGAACAATGGTAGGGCTTCCTTTAGAGTCAGTTTCCTTTTCTCTGGTGAGCTTCTAAATAAGGCAGTAATTCACTTGCAGAAAGTAGGCTGTTTGCTCTGGTCCCTTTTTGACATGAAAGAAAATGCATATTTATTAGTACTCTGGTCTAGCCTTATGTCATCGGGAGATCAGCTTACTGTCTGAGATGAGGAAGACCTCAGAGGATTCTGTCACTTAGTTGCTCCTCACTATTGTATACTTACTTCCCTCAAGATCCATCAAATGAATACAGATTTTCATTAAGATTCCAGGCTCCACATTTAGTAACAAAGTATATTTTATTCATTAGAGGAAGTTCAGTTGGATATCTTCTGAACATTTTGTGTGCACTTAATTGGATTTACTATTTTTACATGAAATTCTTTTAAAATGTTTTGAATGTATGACACTCATTAACTCAGGCCAGTTTGTATCACAGTGAAATCTAATAGGAATATTTTTGCTGTAAGTATATTTAAAGTGAATGGGTGCACAGCAGAACTATGTGACTTCTATTGATAGAGAAAAAAAAGACATAATATGCGGTTTTCTGAAACAAGGCCTGTACTTTCCTACTGTCCTTTTAAAAGGTAGTTAATTGGAGCAGACAGTGTGGTTCAGTGGGTTGCACCACTGCTTGGAATGCTCATATGCTATCTTGGAGTGTTGGTTCAGACCCAGCTACTTCTCCTTCAAGCTTCCTGGTAATATACATGGCATCTTAGTGGATGATACTCAAATACATGGACCCATGCAACACATATGCAAAATATGTTCTCATTAAATGTTTTAAACAGAGACACTGCCATGTAATTCTAACTGTAAGAATTTTTTCTTCTACACTTGTTACTTTTTCTAATATATATATGCATCTGTGCATTAGTCATTGACATCGATGACACATTCAGCTATTAGTGAAAGATCCTGAATCATTAAAGATGATAAATTTACAATCTGTATAACTTAAAGCAGCTAAGTAGAAGAATTTTTAAAGAATCATTTATTTTTGGGCCCAGCACAGTAGCCTGCTGGCCTAAGGCCTCGCCTTATATGTGCCAGGATCTCATATGGGTGCCAGTTCTAATCCTGGCCGCCCCACTTCCCATCCAGCTCCCTGCTTGTGTCCTGGGAAACCAGTTGAGGATGGCCCAAAGCTTTGGTATCCTGTACCCACATGGGAGGCCCAAAAGAAGCTCCTTGCTCCTTGCTTCAGATTGCTCAGCTCCAGCCATTGCGGCTACTTGGGGGAGTGACTCATGGGACAGAAGATCTTCCTCTCTGTCTCTCCTCCTCCTCTGAATATCTGACTTTATTTATAAGTTTTTATTTATATTTGAAAGGCCGATTTTACAGAGAGAGAATGAGAGAAAGAGAGAGAAGGTCTTCCATCTGCTGGTTCACTTCCCCAGTGGCCACAACAGATGGAATGGAGCCAATCCAAAGCCAGGATGCAGGAATTTCTTCTGTGTCTCTGCTGTTAATGCTGCATCCCAAGGTTTTGGGTGTGGGCAGTCTCCCTGGGCCCTTGCCTGCTACCTAATGGGCATGGGACATCACCTACCTGAAGCACAGCTTCCATCCCTGCACAGGGAATGTGACCTCTGACATGACTGGAAGGTCAAAGGAAATAGACATGCCCTTTAGGCAATCACAGTGTCATTGTTGCATGGGGGGGGGGAGGAGGAGATGCCCTCCTGCCTTCCCCTTCCTTAATCTTGTAACTTGTGCATTATAGAGCAGACATTTCTCAGCAGCTTGTCTCTAGAGGTTCTTAAGGCTAATGATCACTTCACCCTCAGTGACCTTGCAGCCTGCTGGCAGGTTTAAACCCCGAGGTTTGGGTCATCTGTTGCTTTCCCAGGCTATACATGGAGAGCTGGATTAGAAGTGAGGCAACCAGGACATGAGCCAGCATCCTTATTGGGTGCCAGCACCACAAGGCAAAAAATTACTCTGTTGTGCCACCATGTTGGCCTCAACAGAAGAACTTTTTAAGATGAATATTTTAAAGACATTAATATCAAGTGTTAAAACAAGACCTTTTGAATTTAAGCCTGAATTTTTTAGCAATATTAATTAACTGTAAAATTTCCCCTAGTACGCACTAATATTCACAATGAATTTTATGAAGAATATTTTAGGGGATAAGTATTATTTCACTTCCTTAGATGATTTATGTAAGAAACTTTGAAATTGATGAATAGAAAAAACTCATTTTTAATCATTTTAATATATATGTAAAGTTCTCAATTTAATTTTTTAGCACTTGATTTACTCTTCCTTAGAAACTGTTTTAGGTATTATTAACCCCAAACAAAATTGTAGCCATGTGACATAAACTTTTCTGACATAATCATCTTTTTCTCCACTTATTCCCATAGTTTTGCTCTCCTTTTTTCTCTAATCATTTCATTGATTTGAAAGGCAGAGAGCTCCCATCCACTGGGTTGCTCCACAGAGGCCTGCCACAGGCCCAGGCCAGGAGCCTGGATCTCAGCCTGACACTTTGGTTGTCAGTGGCAGAGAACCTGAAGTTGAATCATTGATTGCTGCTTGCCAGGGTGCACATTAGCAGAAATCTCGAATCCAGAGAGGAGGCAGGACTCACACTCCTGTGTGGGTTCTCTGCATCTCAAACAGCATCGTAGCTGCTTTTCTTCTTTGTGTTCTTCCTCTGCCCTAATAGAAAAATCAGGCATTAGGGGATCATGAATTTAGGAACCAGTCAGTTGGGGTTTTAGTACAAGTTTCACCATTTCCTGCACTTAAGAGTTCGAGAATTCTTTTCCATGCACGTCAATTTCCTTATTTTTCTCTTATGAGAATAATCCTGAGGAGATGCACATAAACCACTCACTTTAAGAGTCATACTGATTGAGCATCTCAGATCTGAATATCTGAAATCTAGAATGGTCCAAAGTTCAAATCTTTGAGTGCCAGTAATATGCACACCTGACATGTGCCAAGCTGCCATCAAAATGCAGGTAAACTAAAAATACTGTCTAAAATTACCTTCAGGCTGTACGTATAAGCCATATATGAAGCATGGCTGAATTTGTTTAGAATCAGTTCATCCTCAAGATAGATATCTTGACATATCTTACACAACCCCCCCCCCCCACACACACACACAAGTAGCTCCAAAGTCTGAAACCCTGTGCTCCCAAACCTTTCAAATAAGGGATACTCAACTTGTACATATTAACATGCTTCTTCCACTTCCTATTTTCCTTCTCCCCTTTCTCTCTTTCATAGCTGCCATTTAGGAGATAGAATGTATGAATATATGTTTTACACCTTTCGTGAGGCAGGGAACTCAAGATGCTAACATGCCCACC